CAAGGACAGTCCCACCAAGCCAAGAAGTGGCTTCTGTAGTAGCAGAGGGTGCAGTTGAGTGCTGCAACCCGTGGAAATAGAGGCATTCCCTCAAAAAAAAAAAAAAATCCACGTGGAAGCTCCCAGGTAACGTTTTTCATGCAGGTGATGACAGACAGAGCGTCACTCACCCCTCGGGCAGGAGACTGCAGCAAGAGGCTTCTGTTAACCTGCAGAAACACTCACCTTTGACCTGAGCACTAGGGTTTTGCAGCTTTCAGCTTTTTTCTGCCCGGCTAGCCAGAAGGCTGCTCTGCAGTTACACAGCATGTGGCAAGCGAGACGAGTTAGAGCAGCCTGTGTGTGAGCCAGATTTGTGGGGTGAGTTTTGAGTCTCTGTAATGGGGAATTAATGCAGGAACAAGAGCCTGCACTTGCACGCTTTAGTGGCCTGGCCTTCCTTCTTTACCTCACACTGTTGAGTACTAGGAGAGTGGCAGATGTCACTGATGCTTTATTTTTTAACCTCAAGGCCAAGATTTTTCCTTGCTCTGCCCAGATATTCCCTTTCCCTGCAGTGGTTCCAGGTGCTTATTCCAGCCATTACCAAACTGAGCAGAGGGACAGCTGTCCTGCATAATAAACTGAGGACCTGAGAGGTTGGAAGCAGAAAATAGGCCATTTTTGGTGACAGATGGCAACTCTAGTGGAAGCAGCAATAAGGGATTAGAAGCAGGAACATATCGGAGCTTGTGCTTCAGGGAATTAGTGTCCTCAGATGACTTTAAAGTGCATTTTCATCCTCATGAGCCTACTCCGCTTTACCTCAGTGGTGCGACACGTTTCTGACTTGCTGGTGGGGTACGCAGCAGCCTTGCTTACTGTGATTTAAAAAAAAAAAAAACACACAACACTTGTCTGTCTAGTCACTGAAGAGGCCTTACAAGTGCCAGGGTGATAGACATGCTTTAGGCTCTCAGCAACAAGATAATCAGCATTACATGGCAGCGTATTGTATTTCCTCCTCAGCAGTTCTGGTTGAACAGCGCAGCCATGGGTGCCCACATCGAAGCAGAGGTATCACAGCTGTCCAGCCTTCAGCGTTAGCTTACCAGCACATGAACTGGACTGCAGAAAGGAAAGGCTTAAGTGCAAGCCCATTCCAGCCCGTTTCAGAGGCAGAACACTGACATCCATGTCTAAATTGACTCAGTTCCCAAACTTTGGTCTTAGCGAGTTCTTCAATATGCAACGTCAACTGTTCTGTAAGCAAAACCCTAGGAATTTTGCCAAGGCTTGATCTTCTGTAGCAAACAAAAGTCTGGCACTACAGCAAGGTTGACTGTTGCTGCCAGCCACCTTCAATAGCTAACACAGGTTTCTACTGTGTGCCTTCCACTACTATCACTAGCTTCCTCTCTTTACAAGCCTTTCAGAAGGTAGGTCTTGCACCTGCCATCTTCACTGTATATAAAATGGGCATTTTATTTAGATGTTATGGGGAACAGTTGGGTGAGCAAGAAAGAAGCCCAACACTTATTTAAGAAATAACTATGACATTTCTTAACTGAATGTAAGACAAATGCTGTGAAGAGTTATGTGGGCCTGCCCCAGGCCCGATAACTTGGTTAGCTAGATCAACTTCTAGACCAGGGCTAGGACACTGGGTTAGATTTCAGGAGTAAGGGAAGACGGTACTTCTAGCCACTTTAGAGATCTGCATTAATTGCTGGTGATTTGTAGACAAATGTTCATTTTTCATACTCTGTTCACTATGCTTTTTGTAATTCAGTGGCCTATTCCAATGAGCATTGAGTACAGGCTCCCTGAAAGTATATTGAAGCTGTTTTTCTGTTGTACAATGACTGTTTCCAATAAAAATTTGTTTTAATCATTGTGGCAGTCAGAGCTGTTCTAAGAAACCAAAGACATTGCTGGGCAGGGGTGGATACAGTGAGCTCATGGTGCTAGGTGTGCCCAGTCAGCCAAGCCTGCCCCTTCCCTACCTTAGGCAATGCAGCAGGTTTCTCTCACCTGACTTGACTGCCCCTGGCATCAAGCCTCAGCTGGGCTCTGTGCTAGCAAAGCTGGAGGAGGGGGTAACAGCAGGGACTGCCGAGAAAAGATCAGCAGTTGCAGGGAATTGGAGTAGGGCTACCACAGAGACTGCTCCTTCAGGCCTCTCAGGAAGAGCTCCACACTTGTGGTAGGAGCAGGCGACAAGGCAGCTCAGAAGCTAGCAAGTGATTTTTCCATACTGGGATTTTTGCATGCTTTTTGCTAGCAGAGCCAACCCTTTGGCAGGAGCTTGAGTGACAAACGCATTGAGGAAAACAGAATTGCTGAGAACACTGCTGCAACCTTTTGTCAACAACCAACATCCGATCTGGAGCCTTCCCCTGTAAAGGTCATCCTTACTCGAAGGACTATTAAAGCATGGCAAGAATCAGGGTCTTCATCTCATTTTAGGAATCACATAGCAAAATTGTTAGCTTAGAAAGATTGACGATTATCACTTCTCAAGTTTAAGTATGTTGCCTGAGTGATTTAAGTTTCCTTCCATCAGCAAAATTACTGGCTAAAAGGGTAAATAGGAAACTTCACAAGGGTGGTCTTGCAACATTACTAGTATGTTAAACCCTGACAGCGTAACTGTCTTCAGCCTTGACAAAGCTAAATGAGTTGCCTAAGCCCAGAGTCAGGGGAGATAAGCAGGGAGTTCAGACTGCCTCTCTCACTCGAGGAAGCTGCAGTCCAGAACACCGAATTTTCTTTGCTCCGATGGCCGCTGAATACCGTCCCCTCTGGAAGTCTAGCCTGCTGAAGCAGTGAAACTCCACAACAGTACGGTGTATTAAAATACATACACTTTAATATAAAGACAAAACTTCAAAGCATTGTTTCAATTACAAATCAGGGTAAAGACACAAGAAATTAAAGTGAAGGAAGGGGAGGAAAAAACTAACTCTTACATTGTGGAGAATTAGAAAGGTAGGGTGGAAATATATATATATATATATATATTATACATACATATATACACACCAGAAGAATTCACACTACTTCTATGGAAGAATGAAGGGAATGACAGGACAACTTACCAGTATATTAAAAAAAAAAAGATAAATTAGGGGAAGTTTGAATTTTAAATAATTCAGTTTTATAGGCTAAATTATATAAACTAATTCCTATTCACTAGGAAACATCCCATATCACTGTTCTAAGAAAATGGGTATTTAAAAAAAATCCATTGAAAAATGGATTTTTATTAGTAGTTAAAAGTTTACTAATCAATTCCTGAGCAACAGCAACCTCAATCTACTGCTTTCCCCATCAAAGTCCCACTCAGCGAGGGCAGGCTCCCACTCCTAAAAAGTTTAAGTAGAACAGAGACCTAAAGAGTTGGGTTTTAATTTGAAATTTATCACTTAAGAGATTAATAGGTTAAAAAAAGCCAAGCAGGATGGATCAACCCATTCTATCTTTTCCTCATTAACTCCAGAAACATGACCTTTCTAAAGGATGATTTGACTGCACCAGAACAAGCAACCAGATGTACCTTAAAAAATAACAGTAACCACCAAAGGATCACAAACTTGAGAACTTCAGGGTTAGCAC